ACTGCTGCCGTTACTCCAATCCTCAAAAAACCCGGTCTTGATCCCTCCTCCCTCACTAATTACCGCCCCATCTCCAACCTACCATTCCTCTCAAAAACTCTTGAACGCATTGTAGCCAAACAAATTCACTCTGCCATCTCCAAACCAACCAGCCTTACGAACTCCTTCAGTCTGGATTTCGTCCTCACCACAGTAAAGAAACTGCACTCGTCAAAGTCCTCAATGACCTCCTCACCTCTGCTGACACTGGTTCCCTCAATATTCTCATCCTCCTCGACCTGAGTGCAGCCTTCGATACCGTGAGCCACAACATCCTGCTCACCGGACTCAGGGACATTGGTATTGAAGGTATTGCACTCAGATGGCTCCAGTCCTACCTCACTGAACGATCCCACTTCATCTCCCTCCCCAACCACTCCTCTGCCACAGCCTCAGTCACCCAAGGCGTTCCTCAAGGATCAGTACTTGGTCCCCTCCTCTTCATCATTTACATCCTCCCCCTCGGTCAGATACTCTGCCACTTCAACCTGGACTTCCACTGCTATGCTGATGACACTCAGATCTACCTCATCACCAAATCCCTCCATAACCCACCCCTTACCCACATCGATTCCTGTCTGACAGCTATTGAAACTTGGATGCAACATAACCTCCTCAAACTGAACAGCAACGAAACAGAACTCCTCCTAATCGGCTCCAAATCCACCCTCAGCAAGGTCACTAACATAACACTCACCATCGATGGCACCATTGTTTCCCCCTCCAATCAGGCACGCAACCTTGGCGTAATCTTTGACCCCACCCTCTCCCTCGAACCTCACATCCGCCAAACAGTCAAAACCTCATTTTTCCACCTCCGCAATATTGCAAAGATCCTACCGTCTCTCACCCGCCCCGCAGCCGAACGACTAATCCATGCCTTCATTTCCTCCCGCCTTGACTACTGCAACTCACTTCTTTATGGCATCAGCACTACATCCCTCAACAGACTCCAACGGGTTCAAAATGCAGCTGCACGTCTCCTCACACATACCAAATCATGGCATCACATCAGCCCAGTCCTCAAAGAGCTCCACTGGCTTCTTGTCTCCCATCGCATCAACTACAACATTCTGGTCCTCACCTACAAAGCACTCCACCATCTGGCCCCCCCTTATCTCACAAAGCTTCTCACCTCCTATCAACCCCCACGGTCCCTCAGATCCACCGCAGCCGGACTCCTATCCATTCCCACATCCACACTCTGCAGCTTTGGGGACAGAGCCTTCTCAGTGGCAGCTCCTAGGCTCTGGAATTCCCTCCCCCAATATCTTTGACTCTGAATCCCTCACAGTCTTTCAGTCCCGCCTCAAAACACATCTTTACAACTCTGTCTACCCATAAGCCCCCCTCCTCTCAATCAACTTCCTCTTGACTGCCTTTTTATTTTTCTTATTTGACTATACTTATTTGTTTGCCTGTCCTTGTTTGTCTACCCTCCCTCATATTGTAAAGCGTCTTTGAGTTGTGAAAAGCGCTATATAAATAAAATACATTATTATTATTATTATTATTATTATTATTATTATTATTAATAGTGTCATACTACAGCAAGGGGTTTGGAAGAATATGCTTTTGAATAATTTTGGGGAATATTTATAATGTAAATTCTTCAATAC